ATGCGCTTGTTTGGGGCTTTTGGGTGTGGAATGTTTGGGTTCTCCCTTCTGTCTTATCTCCTTTATGTCTGACCTTCTCCCCGCGGCCACTCCAAAAGAGGTGCCAGACTGGAGTTCCCAACACAGGCTGGGAATTAGGTAGGTGGGTACCTGTCCTTGAATGAATGAGTCAATTGAAATGTTTGGATTTGGAGTCAGGGCCCTGGAAAGCAATCTGAGCCTCCTTAGCACTCAGCCCCATTTAACCTTTTCATGGTTTTGAGGAATACTTTAAATATTTTTATTTTATGAATTCTTAAAAAAATTATAACTTTTACAAATTTTTAAGTATATACATATATATATATATATATATATATATATGTATCAGCTAGGGGCTTAGAACAAAATGACATCACACAAAAGTATATGCAAACTATAAAGTGCTATGTAAGTATGAGCTATTAAATAATAAAGAATAAGAAATCATGATATAGCAGAAAGAACACTGGACTTGAAGCCAGAATACCTAGAGCTGAATACAAGCTCAGACACATCCCTATTGTGTGACTATGGACAATTCACTTACTCTTTGTGAGACTCAGTTTCCTCATCATAAAATGATTATAATAATATTCACACTACCCTCCACATAAAGCTGTAGTGAAGAAAACAATCTGAACAAAATCATGGAAACTGAGAAAATGGAGTTCCATCTGTACCTGATAAGTGGTCATCTAACCTTGGCCTAAAGGCATCCAGTGAGTAGAAACTCACTATTTTACATGGCAACTAAGCCTTTAGTGCTTAAAGCACGTAAGAAATATAGGGCATTGAAATTTTTATTTTTATAACAAAGTCACCTTTAATAGGGCTTTCTACTTTCGGAAGTTCTTTCTCATGCATCATTTCCTTTGATAACCACCCACAGCACTGGGTGGAGTTGAGCATTTAGGGGATATGTCTATTTGACACTGTGAGGTAACTGAAGCCCAAAAAAGTTGACTTGCCCAGGGTCACACAGCAAGCCATTGACAAAGCCAGAACTAGAATCTAGGTCTCCTGTCATCAGAATTCAATTCATTAGAATATGAGCTCCTGGAAAGCAGAGATTAATTTTTTTCTATTTGTATTCTTAGCTTAGTACAGTATTTTGCACATAATAAGTGCTTAATGCTTTGCTCATTCACTTCAACAAACATCTAATTTTTTTCCCCTAGGCAATGGGGTTAAGTGACTTGCTCAGGGTCACACAGCTAGTAAGTGTCTGAGGCAGGATTTGAATTCAGGTCCTCCTGATTTGGGGTCCAGTGCTCTATCCAACACCTAGCTGCCCCAACAAACATCTATTAAGAGCTGATTAATAATCAAGGCATGGTAACACTGAGACAGGAAGGCAACATAAGTCTTAAACCCTGGGCTAGTGCTTCTTTCGCCCTTAGTTTATTGCAATGGTCATGCTGACTCCACTTGGGCATGGTCCTGGTGCTCTGCAAATGACAGAGGTATTGTATGGGAGGAAGTGAGTCTAATTCACTGAGGAGGACAGTTGTTCTGCAGCTGTTAATCCCCCTGAGGTTGCTCTGTCCTTGGTGGGTCACAGGGGTGGGCATACTCTGGGCAGAGAATGGGCCTTTCACTAGCAGAGAACAGCCAGGGATAGATTCTAGACTGAAGAGAGATCACAGTTCTTTGGCCCCTATAACTACTACATATCAAAGGTTATACATCAATTCTGAATATGTCAACTTGAATTTTTTTTTTTTTTAATATCGAAGTCCAATCTTGTCCTGGTCCTGCTCTGGGCAACTGTAGCTGATGTATGATGGAGGAGAAAGCCCTCTGTTGCCAGCAGACTAGCATGTAAGTTGACTCTAATTTGGGGGAAGTTTTTTTTTTTTAATGTTCAATAGTTGATTTACAATTTGTGCTATCCAGCAGCTGCTATTTCCAGGACTGTGTTCCCTCTCCTTCCCCCAGGGTAGTTTGGGCTTGAGGAACTGTGTGGTATAGATTCCTGGCTCGCAGGCAGAACCTGCTTATGATTAATGTTACTGATACCACATATCATGGGTACCTCAAGGCTGGGGGCTCGGGAAGGGCTCACAGCCTAGAGCAAATCCCTCTTGCAACACAAGATGGGAAGGAGAAAGCACCCAAGAGAGAGGGAGGGTTTTGCGTGTCAGTCAGTATGGAAGAATGAAACCCCAGGAGATGGGATGTGAGGAAAGACTAGGGGTCCTTGTGGAATGTTATCAGGGGCTCTGAGTACGGGTCCGAGTCTTCTTTGGCTAGCCAAATGGCTTCTGTAATGACATTTCCAGAAAGGTAGCCACTCTGGATCCCAGAAGCAAGGGGATTCTCTAGGAACATGACTGTGGCCACTGTCAATCCCAGGGGAAACTATGAAGCCCACTTCTTGTGCTTTCTACTGCTTATTGGGGCAAGGCTGGGGTCTAAAACATGAACTCAATGGTCTTGTGGAGACAGCAGCACCAGGCTTGGATTAGAAGGCCTGGGTCCACCTCCTGCCTCTCTCACTAACTCAATATGTAACTTCAGACATGTCATTTTCTCTCTTGCTCTGAAGTGAGAGAGGTGGACCAAATGTCTTTTGAGCCTCTTCTAGCACTGATATTTTATGTTTATGTTCTAATATTGCTTCCACCCTGTAAAATTTTGTGTTCTAGGGACTCTCCCAGTTCTGTCTGTGAGTCTATGATTTGAATTCCCTCCTTATGTTTCCAGATCAACCTATAGGATGCTGGATTTGGTGGAGGGCAAGGTGTTTGAACATCTTCTAGACACGACCCCTCAGGTATTACAAACTCAAATTAAAGACTTTCCTTGGATGAAATAAATTTCAGGAAGGCTTGTATGGACTGATGCTGAGTGAAGTGAGCAGAACCAGGTGAACATTGTACACAGTAATAGCCACGCTGTGTGCAATGACCAACTTTGATAGACTTAGCCCTTTTCAGCAATGCAACAGTCTAAGACATCTCTAAAACTCTCATGATGGAAAATGCTATCCACATCCGGAAAAAGAACTATGGAGTTTGAATGCAGAGCGAAGCATACCATTTGCTATTTTTTTTCTTCTGTTTGTTTTGTTTCCTCTTACTTATGGTTCCTCCTATTGATTCTAATTCTTCCTTACAACATGACTAATGTGAAAATATGTTTAATAAGAATGTATATGTAGAGTTTATATCAGATTGCACCCTGTCTTGGGGAGGGAGGCGGGGAGAGAGGGGAAGAAAAATTTAAAACTCAAAAGCATATGGAAGTGATTGTTGAAAACTAAAAATAAATTAATAAAAAAATAAATAAATTTCAGAGAATCAGATGTTTTGATTAGAACAGATGCAGTGAAAAGACCTTTAGGGTGTGAGTGTGGTACAACACTGAAACCATGAATTCTCTTCTGACATGCAGCAGATCAAGATGTGCAGAAGTGGAGGGGGGGGTGTATATTACAAGAAACACCCTCTAGTGGCTCCAGGCCAATTCACTCTCCATGTCTAGGACACACCAGAGCCCTCCAGAGGGGGCTATGCAGCTGCCCAGCACAATATTGTTAACAGAGGTGCCATTAAAGAGGGGCAATCTATAAGCTCCTTTTTCTATGGAGATACTGTCTGCACATTATGGGCCCCAAAGTCAAGAAAAGGACCAGGATCTGGTACCCACAATTCTGCCACTGGCAATGGGCTCTGGGCAAGGAGTCTCCAGATATAGATATCCGGTGGTACCTCCATGGGCCTATTGGGTAGTGACTTGAAGAGCCCATCTTGTGAGAGTCAAAGTTTTGGGCTCCTGCTCTATTAATGTCTGGGTCTACAGATCTGGCATTCTTGGCCTCACTGAAGTATCACAATGAAGTATTATCACTGTCAGGATATACTATATCCTTGGACAATGATGAGTGGGTAAAGTTGGGAGGAAGACAGATCAAAAAGCATTTATTAAGACCCTACTATGTGTCAAGTACTGTGTTCAGCTTAGCTCACTTCCAAGTGATTTGGATTAGTGTTGGTGGTATATACCTGGCTTTTAGGATTTCAATTTGAATGCATGTATGTTGCCTCAAGTAAATTACCAGGCCCCAAAGCTCCTGTGGTACACTGATAAGCTTTTTGGGAACTCTGACAGCAGAAGTTAATCTTATAGTCATTAGCTCTCATGAGTTAATACCGGGGGTCTGAGACCTCCAGTCCAAAGGGTGGATCTCTGGTCCTTACCTTAATTTCATCCAGCCTGTGAAGTATGAAAAGGAGGTACCCATTTATGGCCAACATTGCAAAAATGTAACACGATCTATAAAATAAGATTAGGTGATCTCTCTGGTTGTTTCTGGTTCTAAATCTATGATATTAAGGATTCTGTGATTTTAAAAGTTTTTTTTTAAGTCTTTAGTGATGACATCTTAAATAGCTCAGATGAGTGTATATGTGTTTCTTTGTCTCTGTTGCTCTTCTCTGTGTGTGTCTGTTTCTTCACTTTTCCTTTCCCCCTTCACCTAGTTGAGCATAATGTAGAAATGAAGTATGTATTTTAATTTCTCATCAGATTTATTGATTAGAATTTTATGGTCCCTAGCATTAAGTTTAAAAGTAGGTGATTACGGAGAGTTTCACATGTTCTTGAAAGCAAATAAAACACCTTAAAAAGGGTCTTTTTTTTTTCCTTACATGGTTCCTGCTTGCTAGGGGTCCTCAATAGAAATGGACTTGCTGAGCTAGATGCCATATCTGGGTTAAGATGTACTCTGCACCATGTAGTGTTAACATGACCTCTGCCTTTTGGGAAATTCCATTTTAAAATTCCTTTCTTATCCCTCCCCAACCCCTTCTCTGTCTGTCTTGGCCCTCTTCCCCCTTCAGAGGTTGAGCCCTTCTCCATTCCCATCTGGCTTCTCCAACATCTTACAGCTGATAGGACTCTTGCCCTGTGTCTCCCCACCCAAGTTATCCCTGCTCCAGTGGTCAGAGCTTCCCCCGATGGCCTGGGACACTCACTATTTGGCAGAGTCGTTAAGCTGATATTCTCGGGAACGGTTGAAACATTCCTGTATTCCGGAGTCTGCCCAGAGTCTCATCATGGCGGAGAGTAGCTCCGGAGAGAAGGGCTCCGTGTCTTCCATTCGACTTACCACATCACACACCATCTTGGCATCAGCCTGTGAGGAGAGGAAACAAAGCTGGGGTGTGAGGCCAGAGTAGGGAGACACTCAGATAAGCAAAAAAATACTGCCCACTGTCCTCCAATCTGCTTCCTTATGGTTCCAGATGGGGCAGCTAACAGGATGGCCATGGCAAAGTCTACACTGATTTCACTGACTGACTGAGACCAGGCCACTAGACAGGAGTCACAGAACCATATTCTACAAATGTTAGGCTCTCCCAATGAAAATGTTCACAATTCCTGCTTCCTAGAACACACGGAATCAGCCACTATATACAAGCCTTCATTATTTTCTAGGACACCAAGGCACTAAACTGGGGTGGCAACTTCACCCCAGACCAGAAACAGTTGAACTGTCCATTCTCTAGCCTGGCAATGGAGGATGTTTTGGTTTGTCAAACATCCTGGTTAGTCATGACTATAGCCACAAAATCTATAGCCAGACAGAAAGAACCATAGAGATCACAGAATGTAGGAACATAAATTTAGACTAGAGCTTAGAAATAATTTAGTAGTTGAGTTAAGCCTTATTAATTTTCAGATGAGGAAACTGAGGCACAGGAAGGGGAAGAGCTTTGTTCAAGGTTACATAGCTTATAATTAACAGAAGAAGGATGTTGAATGCAGGACCCCTGACTCCAAATTCAGTGCTCTTGCCACTGAGACACATGTATAGATCCTCAGACTTCAGAGACTACTATAAAAACATAACTAACTTTAAAACTAGACAGTAATTTGCCTCAGTTTCTTCATCTGTAAAATGAGCTGGAGAAGGAAATGGAAAACCACTCCAGTGTCTTTGCCAAGAAAACCCCAAATGGGGCCATGAAGAGCCAGACACAACCGAAAGATGACTGAACAGTGAATTCACCTATTTCACTTATTATTCACCCTTTTTACTACCTCTCTTTTAAAACCCTGTTTAAATGCTTCTTCTTCCAGGGAATTTTCTCTGATACTCTGGGTCAATAACAATCCTACCCATAAGGCTTTACCTAATAATTTATTTTGTTTCTAACTGATAAATCCATTTCACACATAAGTCATCACCTGTGATGTCACTGGTCCTCTTTGAGAATGAAGGACAAACAACAGCAACTGATGCACAATTTTCATATTATAACTATTTGTATTGCTACTGTATCCTCTTGCTAGACTAGAAGGATGGGAACTTCAGCTAAATTTTATACCTCCTGCAGTTAGATTCTCTGACTCTAAATCCCATACTTTCTACAACACCTGAATTGAATCTGTTTTCATAGAAACCATATGAGATTTGAATCAGAGGACTTAAGTTTGACTCTGCTATCCATGTTATCTCAGTTCCCAGTTTTCTTTCTGCACAATAAAAGGGGACACAACTTCTTAGTACTTGGATTTGGAGTTAATACTGGGTTTGAATCCTGGCTCTGTTACTTATTACCTGTGGGACCATAGACAAGTCATGTCCCCTCTCTGAACCTCAGTTTTCTCATCTGTAAAATGAAATCACTGGACTAAATAATATCAGAAGTCCTTTCCAGCCCTGAATCCTATGAAAGACTGATGCCTATGCCAAAGATACTGTGGGATTCAGAAGCAAAGTGTCATGGTCATTGTTTCAAAAAGCAATGATCCTTATGCTATCAATGAGTAGAAGAGTTATTTATTTGTTATTTTTCTATATTTTAAATTTTTATTGAAGTCTTTTTAAAAATATCTCTTTCATTTGTGAATACAGCCTTTCTTCTCCCTTATCCAGGTAGTTATCCATTATTACAAAAAATTAGAAACAGAGAAAAAGAAACAGCTCAGCAAAACTAAAAAGCACGTTTCTAGTATTTGACTGTGTATGCAATGCTCCACACCTATAGCCCCTCACCTCTGAAAAGAAGAAAGGGAGGACATTTTTTCATCTCTTCTTTAGAGTCAGATTTGGTCATTGTAATCCCATTAGTATTCTGGTTTTTGTTTGTTTGTTTTGTTTATTTTGTTGTTCTTTCCATTAACATTTTTGTAGTTATGTATATTGTTTAGTTAGCTCTGCCTATACTTTGCATCAGTTCACAAGAATCTTCCCATGAAAAGGAAGGATTGTTTCATAAAGATTTCTGGTAGTCATAATGCAAGAGAAACAAGCTTAGGCTATCCAGCCGGGATAGTGGAGGCAGTATTGGGGTCATGAGAACCAAGAACTGGAAGTCAAAAGACCTGGATTCAAATCCTGGATCCACTGACCACTCATCAATTATATGACCTTGGATAAGTCCTAGGCAAATGCTGGTTTGTTTTGATTGACCTCTCCAAGGCCATATTCCTGGTCTCCCTTTTTACCCTACTCTAACTTTCCTTGTCTGGACATCCAACTCTTAATTTCCCTGTTCTTTAAGTGTGAGGAAAAGGCAGCATGGAGCCATAGACACAACATGGCACAGTAGGAAAAAAACTCAAAAAAACCCCCCAATACACCCAAACGTTGTGTTTAGGGTCAGAAGAGCTGGATAAAAAGCCTGGTTCTGCCATTTATAAGCTGTGTGACCTTGGGCAAGTCAATTCCCTTTTTTGCATCTTAGCTGACTCATCTGTAAAATGAAGGGGTTGAACAGATGGAACCAGAGTAAGGATTTGAAGCCAGGTCCTCTGTCTCCAAATACGGTGTTCTTTTCACCACAACATGATTACCACAGAGTGGGTTCATCTTTCACCGAAAGTTTTTTTTCGAATGAGATGAATAAAATACCAGCTAGCCAGATACTCACTGAGACTCAGAGACCAGGCTGGACACCCAGACACTAAGGGGACCTGGGCTGTATCCAGTCACTAGGGAACTTGAGTACTCAGGTTAGAGCAGGACCAGAAACACAATTTGATCAATCAGGTAGGCAGGCAGCAAGCATTTATTAAGTGTTTACTATGTACCATGTACTATACTAAACACTGGGATACAAAGAAAAATAAAATAAAATAAAATAACCCCACAATCCCTGTTCTTGAGGAGTATACATTGCAGGAAGGGAAGGGGAGCAGACAACATGTAAATAACTAGGTGCATACAAGATATACACAGAGTAGACTGAATGAAGGAAGCCTGAAAGGGGAAGGCATAAGCAGCTGAGGAGAATCAGGAAAGGTCTCCTGCAGAAGGTAGAGTGTAACCAGCCATGAAGAAAGCCAGTAAACAGAAGGCAGAAGAGAGGAGCAGGGCATTTTGGACATGAGGGGCAGTCAGTGCAAATGCCAGATTATTGTGTTTGAGGAAACAGATCAGTGGTCTCTGGATCAGAGTGTGTGTGTGTGTGTGTGTGTGTGTGTGTGTGTGTGTGTGTGTGTGTGTATGTGTGTGTATGCATGCGCATGTGGGTAAGGTGTAAAAAGAATGGAAATGCCAAGCAGAGGACTTTATATTTGATCCTGGAGGTTACTGGGGGCTGCTAGAGGTCCTTGAGTAGGGGTGTGATGTGGTTAGACTTGTGCTTTAGAAAAATCATCTTGGCAGGTGAGGGGAGAATCAATAGGACCAGGGAAGAGACTGGAGGAAGGGAGACCAATTAGAAGGCTATTGTAATAATTCAGATGAGACGTGATGAAGGTGTGAGTGGAGAGAAGGAAATTGACTCGAGAGATGTAAAGGTAGAAACAATAAGATTTGGCAGTGGATTGAATATGTAGAGTGAATGAGAATAAGGAGTCGAGGATGACCCTTAGGCTGTAGGCCTGGGTGACTGAGAGGGTGGTGGTATTCTCAACAGGGATAGAAAATTCAGAAATAAGGGAGGTTTGGGGGAAAGGATGATGAATTCTGCTTTAGACATATTAAGTTTAAGAAGCCTAACAGAAATCTATTTTGAGATATCCAAGTGGCAGCTGGAGATATGTGACTATAGCTCAAGAGAAAGACTAGGGCTGGATATATTGATCTGGTAATCAGCTGTCTAGAGATGAATATTGAACCCATGGGAGCTGATCAGATCACCATGCAAGATAGAAGAGGAACAGAATGGAAGTTGGCCCAGGACAGAATTTTGAGGCCCAGCCACAGTAAAAGGACAAAAAGCAATGAATGGAGAAAGAAGGTTAAGACAGATAGGAGGAGAACCAGGAAATTGGTGTCATGAAAACCTAGAGAGGAGCAAGGATCCAGAAGGAGAAGGTGATTAATTACGTGAAATCCTGCAGAGAGGTCAAGAAGGATAAGCACTGAGGAAAACTCATTAGGTTCCGCAGTTAAGCGATCACTGGTAACTTTGGAGAGAGCAGTTTCAGGTGAATGATATGCAAGGGTTTAGAGGAAAGTGGAGAAAGAGGCAGTAGAGGCATTAAGTGTAGAGGTGAGAATTCAGTGAGAAATTTAGCGAGAAAGTCAAGGAGTTTAGCAATGAAGGGGAGGAGATTACAGGATAATAGGTAGTAGGACAGTAGGATTAAGTGAGGTCTTTTTTAACTTGATGAAGATATGAGCATATTTGTGGGCAGCAGAGAAGAAGGCAGTTGATAGGGAGAGACTGAAGATGAGAAAGAGTATGGACAGTGGGAACAATTTGCTGGAGAGCTGCTAAGAGATCAAGAGTTTGTACAGAATTGGCCTTGTCAGGGACAAGGGCCACCTCTTCATCTGAGGCCCAGGGAGAGGAGGATAGAATGAAGACATCTTCTTCCATTTTCCTCTAAGTGATGTGAAATGGAGAGGAGGGGAGAAGAGAGAGCTCTTACAGATTGGTCTTTTGGGGGGTATTTGTGTGTGTGTGAAATATGAGGTGAGGGCTGAGAAGGTGGTGGGGAAGGAGTGCTGCGGGAGGCTTGAGGAGAGATTAGGTCTGGGAATACTGTAGAACAGTGAATCATTAGGGAGACACAGAATGTTTGCCTTGCTGCAGTGAAAGCCTCATTAAGATTAGATAATACACTTTTGTAATGGGGCCAGCCAATTTGATGGCCAAAGGTGAACAATTACCACAGGCCAGTTTGATTTTCTTCCTTTATATCCCTCCTGCCAAGGGCTAGGATTGATTGGTCAGA